GGTGTCTGTAGTAGGATGCATATCCACCCGCCCTCCAGCCGGGCTCCGTGGCTCCCTTTTCAACCCCTCATCTAGTTTATTGAAACGGTCCCAAATCTGTGTTTGTGCTTCCTTTTTCTGCCTTGCTTTCTCTAATCATCTTCTCCTTTGTCTCTAAGTGTTCTCTCTCTCTCTCTCTCTCTCTCTCTCTCTCTCTCTCTCTCTCTCTCTCTCTCGAGCTTGGGGTAGGGGTGGGAGGACTGGGGAAGTTGGCAGAGAGATAAGATTCTCCAATATTTAATTTTTATGGAAATCATGTCCTAGAAATCCCCAAGGGGCTAAAAATTGTTCTGTGTTTTCAGAAGCCAGTGATGTCGCCGAAGTGGTTATGTTGTAAATAAAACCACATTACTGTCTGCAGCTCGCCCATGCTCTGCACACACCCCGAAACTTGACAGTTTAATCCACTCAAGGAAGCAAAGAGGTTCGGGTCACTGGTGGGGGCAGCCTGTCCCCAGCCCTGGGAGACAGGACTAGGAGGCATCACCGTGGGCAGCAGCAGTACAGCCAGGGAGGGAGACAGAGCCAGCAGTCCTGAGCAGAGCTACCACGTTGCTGAAATTTCCTCTGAACAGGAATCCCAGGAGATCCAAGCCCCCTGGGGTCCCTGGTGTTGGGGGTGGGGCGGGGGATTTGCTTAGATGCGTCAGCTTTCTTCTCCCCCTCTTGCCCAGGGCGAAATGACCAACAAAAAGCTCACGCCCAAGTCCATTGCCAGTAATTTGGGGGGGGGGGCGGTGGGGGTTGGGGGGGGGGGGGAGTTGGGAGTGTAAAGGACATTCATTCATTCATTTGTTCATTGGTTTGTCCATCAAATGGTCATTAAGCATCCACCATGTTCTAGAGAATGCAGCAAAGCTCACAGACACACAGAAATCCCTGCTCACACCCTCGGGGAAGGAAGCAAGCCATGAGCAGGTCAGTAAGTAAAACAGAGCGGATGTTCAGTGCCGACAAGTTACGTGGAGGAAAATGAAGCAGGAACCTTCAGTACTAACCCATGAGAAAGGGAAATATTTACTGACTGAAAGTCTTGTACACAAATGTTCATAGCAGCTTTATCTGTAATAGGTAGAGACGAAACAGCCCATGTGTCCCTCAAGTGGAGGAATCAACAGATTGGTACATTCACACACCGAATAACAGGGATAAAAAAGAAATGATCTATTAACAGATAAGACAACATGGGTGGGCCTAACAAATACATTTCTGAATGAAAGAAAGCAGACACCCAAAAATAGACATTGGATGACTCCATTTATATTCTAGTCTAGACAAAATGAATCTGTGTCAGTGGAAATCAGAAGAGGTTGCCGTGAGGGAGGGTGGGCTGATTGGAAAGGGGTGGAGGAAACTGGTGTGAGGGAACTGCTGGTCTTGATACACACGCATCAGGACTGCTGAGGGTACACTTAGGGTCAGAGGGTTTCATCGCTGTGACACCCCAGTGAAACCATATTAGAAGGCCCAGCAGCCGGGGAATAGGCTGTGTCGGTGGTGGTGGGAGGATGCTGTGACTTGAAGTGGGGAAGCCGAGAAGGCCTCTGGGGAGAAGGCAAGTTGAAGGAAGTGAGGGAGAAAGCCATGTGGGTGTCTGGGGGAGGAACATTCTGGGCAGAGAGAGCAGCAAGTGCAATGGCCCTGAGGTGGGTCTGTGACTGGCCGGGCCGAGGACCGGTAGGAAAGCTGGTGTGTTAGCTTCCCAGGGCCGCTGTAGCAAGTGCCGCAGACGGATGGGGCTTCAGCAACAGAGATTGTTTCCTTGCAGCTCTGGAGGCCGGAGGTCTGAGACCCAGGTGCTGGTTTCTTCTGTCCCCAGACTGCACGTGGCCTTGGCCCTTTGTCTTCACGGGGCCCTCCCTTGGTCTGCGTGTGTGTTTGTGTTCTAGTCACTTCTAAAAACCACACCAGTCAGATCGGACTGGGGCCCACCCTCATGGCCCCCATTTAAACGTAATTACCTCTTTAAAGACCCAAAAGCAGTCACATTCTGAAGTAGGGGGGGTTAGCATTTCAACATGTGAAATTTAGGGGACACCGTTCCGCCCCTGACAGCCCATGTGAACAGACGGGGACACAGCCAGGTGTCCGCGTGTTCTGCCCATCGCTGCCGTGGGGGCCCAGGCTGCTGTGGTGAAGGTGCTGATCTGGGAGGAGGCAGGAAGGGGTGGGTGTGGAAGGGGATGGATGCTGATGGTGGGGGCTAGAGGTCACGGTTCCTGTGATGGCTTTTCACCAACTCATGGCAGTGGAACTTGCCTCCAGAAAGCCAGTGGTGTTCTGATGGAGGGCCGGACAGACACAGATTTCACTTTCTCTGCAGTAGTGGCCTGGGGGTCCCGGCGGAGGGGGCTGTGGAGGATGGTGCCTGGCTGGACATGCTGATGGGTTTGTCAGCCTTTGTCCGCTCACTCCCACGTCCCATCCCCTTGGCCCTGCACCGGGACAGTGGCCCCGGCTGCCGGTGCTGGATTGCCACTGCAGCTGGCATTGGGGGCAGCTGTGGTTTGGGGCATGGCTGGTTCCCAGGTGAGGGCCTCACTGTGGCCGCCGAGCCTTCAATGCATCCTCTTCTGCATGTGCCTGATTCAGACTGAAGGACCACAGGCTCACGGGGTCAGGGGCTCTGGCCTTCCCTTGGTGCTGGCTGTCCAGGCCTTGGAGGGGGAGACAAAGTGAGGAACTTGAGGAAACAATCTCCTGGTACGCTAAGAGGCAGTGGTCTGGGGCCCACCTCGAGTACAATTAAAGGCCTGAAGAGAGAAAAATAGGGGAGCATGTACCATGTGCTGGGCGCTGGGCTGGGGCCTTCTCATGCACAGTCCTCCCTTCATTCTCTCCCACTCTGTGAACTGGGTGTTATTGCCCCCACGTTACAGATGAGAAAATCAAGGCTGAGAAAGGGCAGGCACTTGCCCAAGGTCACACAGGTACGGAATTGTGACTCTGGAACTTGGGTCCAGGTCTTTCAGATGATAAACATGGTCCTTTCTCTACTATGTGGTGCTTCCTCCCTCTGACATAAAAGTTCCTGGATACCCACCCCCATCCTCCATCCCCATGTCAAGCCTCTCCCAGGAAAGCCTTGGGGGTAGTCATCCTGGTCTCACTGCCCCTGGGGTGGGCCAGGGTGGGCTAGTGAGGGGGCCAGAGAGAAACGAGATCCTCCAGCTCTTCCAGGCAGGCCCATTCATGGAACATGTCCATTTTACAGGTGGAGAAACTAAGGGGAGGTGACTTGCTTATGGTCCCAGAGAATGTTCATGAGTTTTTCCAGTGCAAAAGGGAGAGCTGAGCTCTAGAATCAGAGCATTTAGTGAGATGGTGTGTGTGTGTGTATGTGTAGGTGGGTAGGGGTACATGCGTCGTGGAAGAACAGTGAAAATTTCCTCCCCCTGTCCTATGTGACAGCTCAGCTCTGAGAGACAGACATGGGCCTGGGCCCTGGTAAAAGTCCTGGAGAAGCAAAGCTGCCCCCCAGCCTTGAAGAGGATGAGGGAGGCAGGGAGGGGCTATCAGGGAGGCTGGGCATCTGGTGGAAAATTCAGCCTGTGCCTATAACAACAGCCTGGCATGCAGGCAGCATCTCCTCCCCTCGCCCCTGCACCCTCTCCCCTCCCCCCCGGCTCCGCGCCGCCCTCCCCTGGCTGGGACACCACCTCTATGGTCTTCTCTGAGATCCTCGGCTTTGCCAAGCTGTGCTCAGAAGACGTTATTGATTTCCTTTTATTTACTTATTTATGAGACTTCTCCGTCGGCAAAAACGAAAGAGGTTTGTGCAGCGCTTCTCTCAGCAATGAGAAGTATTCTCCGCCCACAGCCTCCGTTCCACTCACACTCCTAGACTCCTCTCCAGTCTCCACACTCCAGGGGCTCGCATCTCCTGCATGCAAGATGCACGGACGGGCAGAGATGAAATGGGGTTACGTGGCCTGTGCAGTGCCAGGTACATAGTAGGTGCTCCAAACTACCTGTGAGAGAGGTGGGTGAAGGAAGTTTTGCGTGAGCTGTGGCTGATGCTGGAGGATTAGGGGACAGAGGATGGCCCACTCCTCTGAGCACTGAGCCTGGGCCGGGCCCAGTGCTGGGCGGCTAGGACCCTTCTCATAATAACCGTGCCTGGTGGATTTCATTACCTTTGTTCAATGGGAAATTCAGAGAGGTTCAGCACCTTGCCCAGGTTACCCAGCCCATGAACCCAAATTCACATCCAGGCCTAATGGGTGCCAGGGCCCAGCTCTTCATCCTCCAGCGTAGCCCCTCGGGGAACAAGAAACTATGCAAGAGGCCACCAGGAGCTGAACCCTGGCAGGGCCCTTCCATCCTCAGGAAGCCCTCCTGGGGCTCAGCACCTCGGTGGATCCAAGTCTACTCTTGCCCACCCTCCTGTCTTGGAGAGGTGGGCGTGTGGGCATCTGTCCTTGGTCCTGAACCCCCAGCAGTGAACTTCAGGCATAGGATTGGCTTGGGTCTCTCCAGGCAGAGCTAGGGGGATTCCAGACGTCACTCAGGGCTCCCGGTTTTTTAGTTAAACCTGTGACATGTTGAGCCCTAACTGCCCTGTGCGGGCTTATCTGTCCCGTTCTGAGCCACACACACATTTTTCTCCCATGGATGCCACTGTCTGGAGGGCCTGTTCCCACCCTGATGCTCCCGACTGCCTCCTGGACGTCTCGGGGGCCCAGATCCAGGCTCTGCTCCCTCCTTGCACACCTGACTCACCTGCCACAGCCCCACTGCGCTGTGCCTGCTGGATTGTCACCAGCCAGCTGTGAGCTGCTGGAGGGCAGGAGTCGCATCTCATTGAGTTAGTCTCCCTGGGCTTGGGCAGTAGAAGGACGGACAGACATCCCTGTTGCTCCCCTGCAGCCGGCAGTGGGTCCACGCATTCATCCTGCATCTGCAGGAGACGTGGCCTTTGCATTCACCGCGATGCTTCTCCTCCTCTCCTCATCTGACAGGAGTTCCCCTTGGCCATCCTCAGAGGCTGGGAGTGCTACTGTGCTTACCCCACCTCCCAGTTCAACCTGCAGGATGCTGTGGACAGCTCGCTGTGTGGCCACGAGTCTGAGGCACAGAAGCTGGCAGAGTACTGCGAGGTCTACCAGACGCCCGTGCAAGGTGAGCCCCGCCCCCGAGGTGGGCAGGGCGTGAAGGGTCCTCCTCCCCGTGCCTGCCTCTGCTGGTGGCCTGTGGTCTGGAGGTTTGGAAATGCTGGCCATGGTGGAGTGTGCAGTCCTGGGGTAGGAGGGGCATCTGTGTAAGGACCCTGGGATCCTCGTGGATGGTCTCAGCTTCGGATAATGGATGGAGGAGGCCTCCGCCATCTCTGGAGACCAGGCCAGGATACAGGGCTCAGTTTGAAAAGCACCTGACCTTAACCTGAATCTCTCTGGGGATGAAGGTGGTTTGAGGAAGGAAGGAACAGCAGAGAGGCAGGGTCCAGAGAGATGGCAAGGGCAAGGTGGCGGCACTGGGTGCCATGGGAGCTCAGGGCCACAAGGGCCTCAGAGGCTTCCCGAGGCAGCCCAGGACCTGGGATCCAGCAAGGCTCCTGGGCTGTGGTGTGTAGCATCCCGTCTGCCCAGCGGGCCCTAGGAGCTGGTGGAGGAAGAGCAGAGAGGGCGGGATGGTGCTCCCTTACGGAGCCTGCTGTGAGCACAGCGCAGGGCTTTGGGGCTTCCACCTGAAGATTTCAGGCAGCCCTGGGGGGGTGGGGGGAGGAAGAGGAGGCTCAGAGAGGTCACTTGCCTGAAATTAGTCCAGCAAGTTTGTTGTTGGCTGCACCTCAGGGTGTGGCATTGGTCCACCCAGCTATGACCCAGCCTTCTCCCCTGGAGTTACCTGTGCTGTGCCAGTAGCCAAGGCTTGGCTGTGGCCATGGATACAAAGCAGGGGCTGCGGGTCCACAGGTGCCAAATTGCACCACACTCTTGCGTGGGCTTTGGGTCTCGTGGTCCCTGGGCTGTCTCTGGCCAGCCACGTGCAGGCGGCGAAGCCCTCCCCCTCAGTTCACACCTGTACTCAGCGGGAGTCTCGGGTCAGCAGTTTCTATCCAGGGGAGCCCGGCCGTGAGTCTGAATCACCACGGGGGTGAGTGACCCTGACATGACCTCTGACTTTCAGACACTCGGTGCACAGACCGGAGGTTCCTGCCCACCAAGTCCAAAATGTTTGTGGCTTTGTCGAGCTTCCCGGGCGCCGGGAACACCTGGGCGCGGCACCTCATCGAGCACGCCACTGGCTTCTATACCGGGAGCTACTACTTCGACGGAACTCTCTACAACAAAGGTGAGCAAGGGCAGAGAGCGGGGAAGGCGGCTCCCGTGACCAGACCGTCCCCTGGGAGTGCGGGAGCAGTGCTTCTCCCACGCGTGTGTGTCAGAGCCTCCCCGAGGGCTTGGTAAATTCAGCCGATTCCCGGGCGGCGCCTCGGAGTCTGGCAAAGGGAAAGCCTAGTGGCGTGGATTCCCTCTAGAAACCTTTCCTGGACTGTCCTTGCTTTTCAGAACCCTCAATCATCAAGTGAGACGGTATCTGCTAACTTCTTTTTCGTTTTTAGGCAAGGGGTAGCTTATCAAAATGCTTTTTTTAAAATCTGAGAGTGAGAGAGAAATAACCCTGTGAGAGAGAGGCATCGGTCAGTTGCCCTCCGCACACACCCCCACTGGGGATCCAACCGTAACCCAGATGTGTGCCCTGGCCGGGAATCAGCCGGCAACCTTTTCGGTGCACAGGACGAAACTCAACCAAGTGAGCCACCCCGGCTAGACAACAATGCTATGTTTTAAAAATTGATCTTAAAATCTTCAAGAGTTTTATGGTTTAAAGTCTTGCAGAAATAAGGGGCCTTAAATGGCTTGAGCCTGCGCTGTTTCAGAACCAAGAATCTCAGGTGAGTCCAGTGGCATCTCCATGTATGAAATATATTTCTCTGTTGGCAAGTGTCACAACCACTAAGTTTCATCACTAGAGTTTGGTGTAGGAAAAGAGGGTGCTATAGTAGCATCCTAGAGGAAACAGAAACTTCTGAGCTTGGCAGTGGGTTCTGGAATCACCCACAGCAACCTCAGTCTGGTTGGGACAAAGCCAAGGTTGTTCATACAACCCTTTGTCCTTGGGAGACTTGGTCATGGGTACCTACAGGTGAGTGGTCAGGGAAAGCACGTGGTCCTGCCCACTCTGTCCTAGTCCCCTGGGAACCACCCACTGTGTACAGCAGGCATGTCAAACTCAAAGGCTAACACGGGCCAAATAAATGAGGCATGTGGCCCTCGGGCCGTGAGTTTGACATGCTTGTACAGGCTGCAGTAACCCGCCTCGTTCATCTAGAAGGCTTTCACCTGTCTCTCACAGCTGGCTATTTTGGTCCACAAATGGCTAAGTGGCCCAGTGGTTTGAACAGCCACATCTAAGTGTTGTGCGGCTGGCTCGGAATGGCTTTAGAGATACCAGGACATCTTTGAGCCTTACAGGGCCAGTTAGATGCAGCCACTGCCTCAGAGCACTTACAGAGCAATGACACGTGCAGATGGGACATTCACAAGGCAGCTCCAGAGCCAAATGCCAACTCTGTCCTGGGTGAATGTGGTTGAGTTATAAGGAAAAGTGGCCGCTGTTGGCATAGGCGGAGGCAGTGGGCAAGGCACCCTGGGTCTCAAGCATCAAAGACTGCATCTCAGATTTACACAGCCCAGAGCTGGACTCCTCCTTTCCCGGAAACTCCCAGCTGCTTGACAGAATGAATCAAAGCAAAACTTTCAGTGTTTGGCCCATGAAAGAGATGACTTTGAAACGTGGGGAGCTTCAGCAGGTGAACCCAGAATTCCAGATTCAAAAGAAACTTGCAAATACAGGTGCTTCCTAGCCAGTCAGGAAAGGGGTGAAGGCTTATTTATGTTTCAGAGAGGCCAAGGTAAGCTCACGCACATCTATGGAGAATGTCCCCAGAGCTGGCTGCATAGCTACGCCGGGATGTGGTCAGGAAACAAGATTCAGGGGACATTTTTCTATGACATCCCACTCTACCCTCCAGTCCCTGGTAAACTTTGTTCCCATAGCCTCTATTCTCTGTAGTATACATGGGCTATTTCCCTACTAGGCTGTAAGCTTAAGGACAGTCTTGATCCCTGACATAAAATCTGACACAGCATGAGCACACGATAATCGGTGTTGATAAATATGTGACTCTGTGTGGTGGGTAGAGTCTGACCTTCTCAGCCAGAAGTGATTTGGGCTCGAACGCCCAGGACTGGCCTAAGGGACCCAGGAAGAAGGCAGGCCCCCAGCCCACAGAGATTGTTCCAGGGGAGCAGGGCTCTGTTCATAGAAACTGGGCCCTGAGTCCTGCAGGGCCGGGCTCAACCACTGTGGATGAGACCTTGGCCAGACCTGCTCTGGAATCCCAGGTAGAGAATCTCTACAGGTGCAGGCTGGGGCCCTGTTACAGGACCGTGGCGTGAGGTCGGGGCGGGGGGGGGCAACAGCTGTTCACAGCCCTCGAGTGTAATGATGGGGATCCTGCTCCTACTGTGGGGAGCTGGGTGGAAGTGGGGTGCTTCTCAGGGACACACACAGCCACGTGGAGAGAGGCCTGGCTCTGTTGCCATGGTGCTCTGTGATCCTGGGCAAGTCACACACCCACTCTGAAACTCAGTCACTTCATCTAGTTATGTGTGCAGCTATGGTTGACTCACAGGGGTATTTGTGATGTTCATGTGAAATTGCCAAGAAAATACCCAAATACTTGCATCTCCAGCACTTAGAGACGGGGCATGGTCAAGCCCTCTGACTCCCGGGGATCTGCAGGAGGTGCCTTATCTCCTTTGTCTAGCAGATGCCATCTTTCCCAACACTGAGACATCCTGCTGCCTTGGGCAGGGTCAGTCCTGTAGAGGCCGCTCCTCTCCACCATCATAGGCCCTCCCAGTGCCCTCTGCTCGGCCCCTATTGCCAGCCTTCCCTCAGGCAGGCAGGGGAGCATTAGGACCTGTCTGCCCCTTGGCCGTGTGGGTCCCACAATGCCTTCCTCCAAAGCGGCCCTCTCCTTCCCCCCGGGCAGGGTTTAAGGGCGAGAAGGACCACTGGCGGAGCCGGCGCACCATCTGTGTGAAGACCCACGAGAGTGGCAGGAGGGAGATCGAGATGTTCGACTCAGCCATCCTGCTGATCCGGAACCCGTACAGGTCCCTGGTAGCCGAATTCAACAGGAAGTGCGCCGGGCACCTGGGCTACGCAGCTGACCGCAACTGGAAGAGCAAAGGTAGGGAAGGGGCCTCACTGCAACATTATTCATGGAGTCAGCCTGCTGACACATGCTTACTGTGTGCCGGGCACTGGGCAAGGCCAGGGGCCCAGGGAAAGGGTCACGGTCTCTGCCCTCAAGGCACGCACAGCCAGCTTTAGGCAGTGAACTGCAGAGGTGAGTAATATAGAGCCAAGTGTGTTCCTCCAAAGTAAAGCTGCGTCCAGCAGGGTGGTGGCATGACGATATGCAGGGCTGTAGGCCAGGCAGGCTGTGCGTCTGTGCCTGCGTGGCTCTGGGTCAGGTGGGGCTGACCTGTGTCTCCCCTCGGCCCCCTGCTCCCCGCTTTCCCCATCACCCTTCACCTAGACCAGCCCCCAGCATCCCTACCCCCCTTGCTGACTCCTCTTTAGGATGGAGGCCAGATAAGCTCTGATCCCTCCTGGGCCTCTTACCAGTCACCCCAGCAAGCTGCACACCTTCGGGGCCTCAGTTTCCTCCTCTGAAAAACAAGGTGGTCCCCATCTCAGAGGGTCATGTTGAAGATGAGAGGAAACAAATGCTCCCCATAGCCCAGTTATGGAAACTATTTTCCTTGGGGTGATCCTTAACATGTGCATTCCTGCCCACCCCCAACAAAACACCTCATCTCTTAATTTGCTAGAAAAGAAATCTCATGAAGTCGGTCATCTGCGGAAGTTTGTGATTGCCCTGACCGTGGCTTCGTGGTGCATCCTCCCGCCCCGCTGTGCTCAGGTTCAGCTGGCCTCACGCCCACCAGCACAGTGAGCCTGGGGCAGGCTGCACGCCTTAGAGTCACAGGAGGGGCCAGGAGAGGAAGCCTGGCCGGCACAGCGTCTTCCTCTCACCGGGAGGCCCAGCAGCTGCCCCCCACACGCTGCTCTGCCCCTGCACCCCACATCAGGTGTGCATCAGAGACTAGATCCTGGTGAAAGAGGGCGCCAAGATTTCCGCCTGTCTTTAATGCGGCTGCCATGCACCGTGGTGCACCCCAGCTCTCCCTGGCCAGGTGCAGTCGCTAAGGTCAAGGAATTCATAGCACATGAGAGAGCGAGCCAGTGCTTGGTCCGTGCAGTTTACATTTGTTTTAACTCGATGTGTTTGCTGGGAGGTAGGTAGACTCAATCAAGGTCACGTCTTCCTGGCTTAGGACTCCTCAGAGCGCAGCCTAATATTAACCCTTATTCACAGTAAGTCACCTTCCTCAGCAGGGGGTTCAGGCAGGTTGGCCCCGGGCAGTGGGTGATGGAAAATCCTGGCCGCTTCCCTGGGCATCCAGGGAGACCAGCAGCCCTCCCGGGCCGGGCCCTGACACGGCACTCTCTGTCCTCCCCAGAGTGGCCGGACTTCGTCAACAGCTATGCCTCGTGGTGGTCCTCGCACGTGCTGGACTGGCTCAAGTACGGCAAGCGGCTGCTGGTGGTGCACTACGAGGAGCTGCGGCGCAGCCTGGTGCCCACGCTGCGGGAGATGGTGGCCTTCCTCAACGTGTCCGTGAGCGAGGAGCGGCTGCTCTGCGTGGAGAACAACAAGGAAGGCAGCTTCCGGCGCCACGGCCGGCGCCCACACGACCCCGAGCCCTTCACCCCGGAGATGAAGGACTTGATCAATGGCTACATCCGGACAGTGGACAAGGCCCTGCGTGACCACAACTGGGCTGGGCTGCCCAGGGAGTACGTGCCCAGATGATAGGCCGCCGCTCTGCGCGCCCTGCTGAGAGCCAGCCGCCCCCGGGGCTGCACCCGCTCACATGCTCAGGTGGTGGCCTCGCTGGGACACGGGCTGCCCCGTGCCACCTCCCACAGGTGCAGGGAGACCAGCCACAAGCCCTTAGCCCACCCAGGCAGACACGATGCCACAGGACAGACACAAACAGAAACACGCTCCTAGCTAGACACGCTTAGACACGCCACTCCACGCTACAGTGCCTGTTTTGACAAGCCCAAGTCACCATGCCAGGTGTGCCAGACACTCACAGACTTGCCACACATAGTCTCCAGGCCACGTGTTCCCAGAGGCTCCGTCTGTCTCTCACAGACACATGTGCACCCGGGCTCTCGGAGGCCCCAGGTTTCCTGTTTTCAGCCCCAGGCATGGACTTGCTGGTCAGGCTTCTTGACTGCGGGGGCTAGGCTCGGCGGGCACCTGCTCTGAGCAGCAAGGACTTGGGCATGGAGGTGGGCTCACGGACTGCTGCTGCTGGGCCACGTGGCCCTGACATCCCATAAATGTGTGTGGTGTGACCACTGGGCACCACGAACTCTGCGGCCCTGCCTCCTGCTCTCTGTGGATGGGCTGGCGGCACCGTGGGCAGAGTGGAGCACCCCTAAGCCACGCACCAATCTCAGGACCCCCTGCAAGTCCTGTGCACCCCCTGCCACTCCTCCAACATGAGTGCCCCTTGGAGGCGGGCCTCCTCGCCTGGCTTCTTTCTCCACCAGTCCCCAGGGAAGCTGGGCATTCACCCCATGCCTCACATACAGGGTGTGAGAATGAGGGGACGGGGGGTGGGGAGGGAGCTGGGCCTCAGGGGAGTCCTGGACCTACGGGCCCCATATGCCATTAGGATAGGGGTTGTGTGGGCATGGGGAAACACAGGAAGTGTGTCTTGGGGCCACTGTGACTGGTGGCCCTGCCCATCTTGACAGGTCCCTGCTTTCCAGGGGGGTTCTGCCCTTGGGTCATGAGGACGGGGTGCTGCACGGTCCATCAGCAACACAACCCGGGACCCTTTGGGGAGAGGCCATAGCCACAGCTTCTGTCGGACCCCCAGTGGCCATGGCCGAGCCCTCTCTGTCGCTCTGTGACTCACCCACCACTTCCTGTCACCGGTCTCTGCCACACATCTGTCTCTATTTCTGCTATGCTGCCACCTTTCCCACTTGTTCCTTCATTTCCTCAACGAAAGGTGGAGGGCACTCAGATGCTGACACCTGCTGTGTGCTGGCCTCCCGGAGAAGACCTGTGTGAAAGGCCCCTTCCCCACCCCAGCTCCGTCTAGCGGGGTCGGGGGAGGGGTCATACCACGTGGAGTGAGAAGCCCAGTAGCAGGAGGGTGTGTGCTGCGCAGCTCACGGTGCTGGGCCCCTGTGCCGGGGGTCTTCAGGGAATGCACCACAGCAACTTTGACCTGGTCTCCAGAAATCTGTAGGGATTATCCCAGCAAAGCAGAGGAGAGGGGTGATTAAGGCAAAGAGAACAGCGTGTGCAAAAGGCTCAGAGGCTTGGAAAACACAGGTGAATGGGGTGTGGGGCGTGCGTGTCTCCAAGTCTGCAGCAGAAGGAGGGCAGTGGGTGGGTAAGGACAGAGGTGGGGACACAGAAAAGGACTCTGGCCTCATAGCCACTTAGTGTTCAGCATGAGCCGGCGAAGGTGCTGATGCTCACTGCCTTCACCTGACATCCCCTCAGCCTGAGCCACGCTGCATCACGGGGAGAAAATGGGGTAAGGGGTTTGGGAAAGCTGGCATGAGGATGACCTGGCCCTCTGCTCCCTGGCTCATGGCGGAGGGGGCGGGCAGGACAGGGTGAGCTAAGAGCGCCCCTAGGAAAGGCAGGCAGGGCCAGAGGGCCCAGCAGAGCCACCCTTCCTCAGAGGGAGGCCTCCCCAGCTTTCTGCTTTGCCAATGACTGAGCTTGAGCATCTGTGCTCCTGGTGGCCTCCAAGTTCTTCCTGAGGTTTCCCCAAACCCACCCTGATGCTGGGGCTGTTGTACACCCTCCCACTGCACCATCTGGCTCAGCTCAGAGCTGGGAACACCAGGGGTTTTGTAAACATTATTGGCTCTGCCTGGGCTCCACGGTCAAGTCTGTGAAGGCCTCTGATGAGGCTGTCTCCCGAGTTCTAGGAGCAGCTGAGATCCACCAGTGGGAAGAGGGCTAGGGGACACCTACATCCCAGAGCAAACCTAGAGTCTCAAAAGAGACAGCAGCACCAACTGATGGAGAAGAGCGAAGCTGGCATCCTCCCGTGACTGGCTTCATGGCTGTGACCCTCACTCGCTGGCCACCCAGACGGTCTTCAGGTAGAAGACTCAGAAGCCGTGGGGGTTGGAGAGGCAGACGTGTGGCTGGAGAGTGGATCAGGGCCACTGCTGAGGCACAGCCCCCTGAGCGTCCCCTTTCCCCACCCCAGGTGTCAAGAGAGCAACAGCACAGCCCATTCCTCCTGGTGGATGGGTGGGTACATTCCCTACAGCCAGGTACCCAGAGACCTCTCCTTCCAGGTTGGCAAGTCAGCTGCTCAAGTGGCCTTGTAGCTTGCTTGCACCTCAGCCAGGCATGCAGATGAGGAGAATGATGGGGTTAGGGTGCATCCAGGTCAGGACGAGTCACTGCCCATGGAATGGCACCTGACACTTGGCAGGTGCTTCTGGATGTTGGGTGAGCAAGGAGGTGCAAAGGCCCTACCTGCTTCTGGCTCCCAGCAGCCATAGCCCCGGGCCTGGCTCTGGGAGAGCAGAGCACAGGAAGGGGGATCTGTCTGTCCTTTTGAGAAAGTCTATTTGTGCCCAAGTTGGGTCTTGTCTCTAGCTCACAGCTTCTCCATAAAGAGGAGGCTGTCCTCACCAGCCAGGTTGAGTAAAAGCAGACCTGTATTCAGGACAGGCGTGTGGTAAATGCATCAGGAACCTTTGAAGAGTGACACCTTGACTGTCTACAGATTCCAACTTTAACAGCCAGGCTATGGGGTTGCACAAACCTGTACTAACACATATAATTTTCATGGATTTCATCTCCTGTTGTGGATCAATTTGGAAACACCAAAATATATAATTTTAAGAAGCTAATTCACATTCTGATAATCCCAGTGATGTGGAAATGAGAGAAAAGAATAGACAGGCTTCCAAATCCTGGGAAGAAAGCTGCTTAATTATGTGAGCATCTTGTAATGAAGTCTCTTGCAGCTAAAATTAGATTTTGAGTGCATGAATATGCAGTAATGTTTGCACACCAGAATGCATTTTTTTCACTTAAAAGTAGCAGGAGCTACTTGGTACTTAGGGGGCCCCAAGAGGGGAGATGAAAATACTGGGGTTGCTCTTTGTGGCTGCATAGGTTTGTGTTCTTCTGACTGGAAACTCATTGGAGGTATTTGAAATGTGATGCCTCCGGTTCATTCAGGTTTAGAGAGAAATTGATTGGCCGGAACCCTCACTGATCACTACCCAGTAGTGGGCAAGTTGGCGTGAGCAAGTAGAGTAGTGTAGAAACAATACAGGGTCTGCAGATTGAAGGATTGGGGTGTACCCTAAAGCTCTGCTCTGCTATGATCTTGGGGAGGCCTCTCTGGTCTCAGTTTTCCATCCATAAAATGAGGGATGTGGTGGATGTTGTTGACTGCTTCCCAATGTTCATTCCCCCATTTCCTTTCCCAGCAGGCCCTGATTTCTGTTTGGGGATTTTATGATCTGGCTGGGCTGGCTTGACTATCACTTCCAGGGCTGAATGCATGACCTAAACTAAGCCATCATCACATTCCAGCTCCCTGGCTACAGTGATTGGTTCAGGTATGGGTATGTGAGCAAAGCATCCAGAGGGTACCTGGTATTTCAAGACTTTTTCTGGGAATGTTGGGTAGAGGCTCTTTTTATCCACCTGCTGGATGTGCAAGAGGAAGTTGGTAGTCTTCAATCTTGAGTCTTGATGGTGGCTGTCTCGGGACCATGAAAGAGAACCACTCTCAGCCTGAAGTCGGCACTACTGAAGGGAGAGTCCAGAGGCAGAAGCAGCCAGGTCCTTGGTGACATTGTTGAAGGATAGGATCAAGCTTTGCCTGCGATTGGCCCCACCTCTGGACAGTTTTGTTCCATGAGCCAATAAATTCCCTTTATTGTTTAAATTGGGTTGAGTTGGGCTTTGGTTACATCCCAGGACAATGCCCACACGGCTTGGAATAAAAGGCCCTGGTGTCCTGACATTCTCTGTTTCTGGCTGATGTAGGTAAAGACCAAAACTGAGACCAGTTTGATCTGGTAGAATTAGAAAGTTGCTTTTTACAGAACGGGTCTGGCTGTGAAATGTTCGATAGAAGGCGGTGCTTAGTCAGCCAGGACAAGAAGCATTTGTAAGTCAGTACACAGTGAAGTCACCTATATATCCTGAGAAAAGTATTCCTTGTTCAGCTCAAACCACAAATTAATCCTTAAACAACACCTTGTTATCATCTCTACTTGACAGACGAGAGGACTAGGACACCGATTTTAATGATTGTAAGAGTATGGCCCTGTTGTATTTACCATAACTCTTTTCATGAAGAATATGATGTGATCTTGGAAGGGATGCTTTGATACACTATTTGGATTGAAGGTGTGACCTCCTTCAAGAGACATCTTTTAGTAATAGCTGATGGGCAATAAACTGCCTTAAAAGGAGGGTAGGTACGGTTAGTCACAGCTTTGGTTTGCTGAGTGAGACATGCAAGCTTGGGGCAGAGCAGAATCGCTGCCATTGGAGGAGAGGTGAGTGATGAAACTGAGAGTTCCCCTCCTCCATCCTCCCTTCTTTAACTCTACTGTGTGATAAAAAATTAGAGGGACAGAGGGAGTTATAGCCCCTATCTTCAAACTCTCCTTGGAATGTCTGACTCTAATACAGTATGCAGGATGAAGGTCTGTATTATAGTCAGACAAAGCCAAGAATCCCAGGAAGTGGATGTGAGTATATTTTCCTCGGCCATGGGAAATATAAGCAGGTCCATCCTAAGTAACAAGAACAATTGCTTATATCAAATAAGGAATCTTAATATCAAACAAAAATAAAAACAATTCCAGTTGATGCTGTAAGCATCAGTATGAGCTGAATGAACTACCTTTCCAAGGTGTCTTCAGTACCTGAGACATTTCTTTAGATTCAGACATCAGCAGTTACAGATACATGGCTTGATGGTGTGGCCAATGATAATTCATAACAGTAAACAGTGTTCTTGCAAGTCATGAAGTTCTACAAACATCATTCCACATGTGCCTCAGTGAGGTGGACATTATAATTTCCATGGAGGGGCCAGGAGAGAAATTCAGTTTCTGAGTATGTTACCCAAAGTTCACATCCTTTATTGTGTAGATAAGAAAAATGAGACTTAGAATGGGAAAGAATTTCCCACGAGGTCACGCTATGAGAATGAATGGTGGAGATAGGGCTGGAAAGAGGGCTCTTCCATGAAACCACCTGACTACCCTCATACTGCATTCCCGGAACTCTTCAAGAAATTGCTGGAAATGAGGCAAATGTGCCATTAAGCTCATTTGGAAGCGACCCCATTAATTTCACTGCTAGTACTATTTTGTGGGCACCTGAATTCAATTTTAAGAGTCATTTATCAAGCCTCCTCAGTACTTGAAAACTTGGTTAGATGGTGCAGGTCTTTCACAGGAGTGAGGTTGGAAAGATGGACCATAACTTGCCACAAGGAAGGAATTTGGGGTTTTTATCCTGTGTCACAGACATCCCAGGCACCAGAAAAGCCCTGTTCCCAAAAGATATTGACAGGCAAGCATCTTTGGCGGGCCTGAGCCCAGCAGTGTGCATGCGTTGATGAGTACGCATGCTTGCAGGTGTGAGCTCCAGCTGCTGACGGACAACTGCCCCTTTGAGTCGCAGGCCAGTCTACCTGAGCATTACAAGTGTCAAGAGCCAGGTCACATGACTTTGGCATCAACTCACTTGGATAACTCTTCCTCCCATAAGCAGAGCTACCACATCCAGATGACACAGGGAAGCCAGGGCACACACACAGTGTGTCTGGGAGAATGCCTGGGAATGCAGAGCAGTGGCATCAGGCACAGATACTTGCCTCTCTACCCAGCCTTCAGTCATCTACCTTGTACCATCAGACGTTGCCAAGGTCGAGATCACAACTCTCCAGAATCACCTGGATTCGTTTTCTATTGCTACATAAATAACCACAAACTGAGCAGATGAAAACAACACATATTTTACCCCCCAGCTTCTGGAGGTAAGCGGTCTCGGCACAGCTTAGATGGGTCCTCTGCTTCAGAATCTCACTGGACTACAATCAAGGTGTGATCCAGGCTGTGTTCTCATCTGGGGAAGTGTCCGTGTCTAATTCACGGATTGTTGGCAGGATTAAGTCACTTGTTGTTATAGGATTGAGGCTCTCAGTCTCTCAGGCCCACCCACAGTTTTCAACAAGCGGGCCTCTCGTAGACAGTTCAGAACACAGCTGTTGGCTTTTTGGGCTGGCTGCAGAGCGAGACAGTCTGACATACGTTACATGGGGATGCCACCTCTTCACCTTTGCTGTCTTCTGAATAAGAAGCAAGTCACAGACCCTACCCACCCTCAAGGCTAGGAGATTACACAGGGACATGAATGCCAGGAATTGGGGACCATTGGAGACCATCTTTAGATCTGATCATAATACCATTATGGAAAAAGTCCAGAAATCAGTGCATTCCTTATGCTGTGTAGAGCACTGCTGACCACTGGATTTCATTGAATGCAGTGGATATTTTGAAGAATCATCAAGTTATATCCATGTGATAATGAGTGTGGGTCTAATGTCCCCAGTCCATTGCCCTGACATTAACAGTCATTAGGAACGTCCCCAATTCATATTGGCCATCTCTATACTCACTCTTTATTTCTCTTGCTCAACACATAGTGGACCCTTCAATAATTTCTTTAATTTTAGGACATTATTAACCATTATTTATTTGAATATTGACACCTCTTTCCTTCTCTAATCCCTCATTCTGGCATTCCTTTACACTAATGCTGGAACACGAAAATCTAGTTTCCACATTTCAGCTCTTTTTATGTATTTTCCATCTCTTAATCCCACTGCTGGGTTCTGGGAGAGGTCTTTCCTTTGACAGTCAAGAATTATAATTTACTCTTCACTGTGTACATTATTCTATTCAACCAACCTGTTAATTTCTATAATTATCTTTTTTATTCCCAATACCTCTAAGTGATTAGAACTTGTTTCACAGATGATGCCCCTTCATAACTCTCTGAGGATATTAAATATACATATGTAAATGTTCTCTACTGATTGCTCAATTAATTCTGTTTTGGGGGTGTGAGTTTTTTCATAGGTTGATTCTGCTGTCTTTCCCATAGTTTTGGTTTTCATCAAAATGTTGGCGATTGTGTATTCATAAAAGGGGAAGAGAATTGTGCAAGGGTCAGCCATCCTGGCTGCGCAGGTTTGATACTAATGGCTCTGTTAATTACCTCAAACCACCTCCTGCCCTCCAACTCCAACTCTTGATAGGGAGCACTCACCTTTCTGAGGCACAGCTACCAGCAATGTCCTGGATGCTGATTTCCTCATCTTTCTGTTTTCTGTCTTTCAGAGTTTGTTCAGTTTGGGGTCCACTCTGGTTCTCTTTTTGTTCTCAAGCATAGCTAGGTTATCATATATATTTGATTCAGGGAGGAAGAAAAAAAACAGAGCAAGCACTTGCTTAATCTACCAAGATCATGAACACCAGTTTCTTCATCATGGACACCAGTTCCTTCATCATGGACTCCAACTACTTCATCATAGGCACCAGCTCTATCTTTGATATCTTCGTGTGACCTAAAATGACTGCAAAAATTCCTGGCTTGGAGTGAGAATTTTATTCTAGGATCATTCTTTCCTCACTATGTGACTTTGGACAAGTGTCTTCCTCTCTCTGAATCTCAACTTATTCATGAAAACAATGAAACATTTGACATAAAAATTGTCTTAGGCCTTATCCCGCTTTGGCCTTCTAAAATTGTGTTTGTCTCATCTGCATGATTTGGTGAAAAGGAACAATCTCTGTCCCTGCTCAAAATACAGGTCCTCACCAAAATGTCATAACAGACTGAACTTCACTTGAGAAGCCAATTTTGTTCAGAATCTCCGCAAATGGAGAGTGCCATGGGAAAAATAAATTGCCTTAGGATAAATTTTGTTTCTTCCCGCCACTCTTCATTTTAACAATTCACCAACATTTCTCATTAACTTGCAGACTGTATTTACAGATGTCTATCACTAGATTTTAAACCATTGGAGGCAGGTTGTGTCTTGTATTTATTTTTGTAACCTCTGCCTTTAGCACAGGACAAGGACGCAGGAGGCACAGGAAGTATTGGTGAACTAGAAGGAGGGATGCACGAAAGCCCTAAATCACCTGGCTTTTAAAGTTTTTCAGGAAAATAATATCTTCCTAAAAAAATAATGTCTTGCTTTTCTTATCTGTGAATTGAGAGGATGTTGCTGAATAAACTTGGTTGAGTTTTTCCATCACCTGCATATTGGGAACTGAGTTCAGCCATAACTATTTAGTGTTACAGGTAAAAAAAAAAAAAAAAAAAACAGTGAAGAACTATGGCAGCCACCAAATCCCCCTGAAGAGTTATTTTGAACTACTATACAGGTCAACCCTCTGTTCCTGACTCTTGGAAAAGAACAAGAAATAAATCAGCAGGATTTTCCTCCAAAGTCCTGTTCATGGACATTCAGGAAGATAATAGTATAAGCCCCACCTTTGCTCCCATGTGAGCCTCCACTGCTGGGGGTGGGAGGCATTCTTGTTTGCCTTGGGATAGATGAGCTTCTCTAGCTCAGTTCGGCAGCTCATTCCCTAAAGATAACCCTTCCTATAGCAAAACTTTTTTTCTTCTAAATAAAAAACTCCTTTCTATTTTATGCCCCAAAGTATAATACGGAGACATCCACTCCTTCTGAGAGCAAGAGGAGGGATAGTGTATTTGGATAAGTGACAAAGAGAGGAAGGTTGGAGGATATCTTCCCGCTCCCAGGCAAGAAAGAATAAAGGTTTCTCTCCCCACCCCCGCTCCTGAGGTTAGTGTAGGTGGATCTTTTCTCTCCATAGCCTGGGGTAAGGATGAGAAGTGCGGAGACAAAGATGCTAGGTGCATGCAAGCACCTAGAACCTCCCACCCCAGCATCATCATAGAGTCTAGCACTCACTGCATTAGCTATCTATCATTTGTGTGAGAAATCACCCCAAAACTTAAGCATGACGTAAAGCCACAACTTAAACCAACTATTCATCAACTCAGAGTTTCTGTGGGTCAGAAGACTCTTAACGGGGTCCTCCAGCTCAAGGACTCTCATGAGGCTACAATCAAGAAGCTGACCGAGCTGTGGTCTCATCTGAAGGTTTAACTGGGAGAGGACTCATGTCCAAGTGCACTCACATTGTCACTGACATCATTCAGGTCCACATGGGCTGGTGGACTGAAGACCTCAGTTCTTTGCCTTGTAGGTCTCTCCAAAAGGCATCACCCGACATGGTAGCTTGCTTCATCAGAGTGAGAAAGGGAGGCAAGCTAAAGAGAGTGTGAGCAAAATAGAAGTTACAGTTTTTTGTAACCTAATCTTAGAGGTCACATCCCATCCCTCTCAGTGTATTATATTTGTTAGAAGCAAGTCACTGGGTGCATCCCTCAGGGGAGGGGATTAGAACAGAAGGTGGGATCACTGGGAGCCATTGTTGTAGCTGCCTTCCATCATCCAGCTGAGCACCTCACAGTCCACCCTGCATGGAGCCACCGCACAGCCTTCAGCATCCTCAGCGATGTGCCTCCAGACCCTCAGGCTGGCTGAGCTCCTGCCTACATTATTGTTGAGGGTAGGGGTTCATTTCCTGTAGCCTTCTCCCTTACAACTACGGCCATCGCTTCTTTCTACCAAGAACTCTCCTGGTCCCACATTTATCCTGGCAGAGAACCAACAAGGCAGGAAAACTCTGACCAGACAGCCATCCTGGGAGATGGCCCACCCCATGGGCTCCCCTGTGAAATCTGCTCTTAGCGTAATGTGTCATTCCCTGTTACACCCAGGCTTCCCTTGCTCCATAGGCACATTAACCTCCATCAGATAATTAAAGGCTTGGCTTTCCGTGGGAGACCTTAAATGTCACCTTTCTGCCACCCCATACATCTTTGAATGACACAGACTCTAATGAGATGTTCAAATATAGAGAACCGAATGGCTCCTTACTTTTGTCATGGCATTTATTCAGCTGGAGCGATCTGACGGTACCACTACATTACTTATAATTTCCACCTGACCTTGGGTGGTGGAGTGAAGTCTTTAAGGAAACTATCCATTTACTCTCCCTCGCCTTATTAGCATTTAATTACTATGACAAACTTCTAGATGTACAAAGGTTGTTAGGATTATAATTTAATTTTCCCCTCAAATAGCCCAGTAGCCAAGGGCAATAGGACCATCTCTGATGCCATCGAGTTCTGATCAAGGACTTGTACTGGACCTGGTTCTGTCTCCTGGCCCCCTCAGACCAACCATAGTCCCCATGTCTCAGAATGCAATCTCTCTCTCTCTCTCTCTCTCTCTCTCTCTCTCTCTCTCTCTTTCTCTCTCTCTCTCCTTCCCGCCCTCTCCCCTGCCCCTCTCTCGCTGTCATCAGTGGGCTGAGCTATGTTACACTGTTCAGCGTCAGGCTAGGCCTCTGGGCCAGGAAGAGGATGCTCGATGCCCAGGATGCCTACAAACTTTCAGATCTCAGAGCTGCACTGGACAGTGAGTTCCAAAGTGAACTCTTTTAGGTAGATTTTTAAAAATATTTTTTTATTGCTTTTGAGGGGGGGGGAATGGAGGGAGATAGAAACATATATGTGGGAAATATCAATCAAGGTTGCCTCTCATATACAACCTGATCAGGGATCGAATCTGCACCTGGGGCATATGCTCTGACCGGGAATCGAATCTATGACCTTTCAGTGCATGGGATGGCACAACTGGCTACACCAGTCAGGGCTAGGCAGACTTTGTATTTCAGAAGAACAACAGATGAAAATAATCCAGAGACATCCTCACCTATCCTGACTCCTCTAAAAAGCCACATTCTGCTCTATGAGTCACTGCCATTTCCCACAGAAGCACTCCTTTTGACACCTCTTGCCTGTCCTAATCCCGTTGGTCACTGAGCAAATCTTGTGTAGGGCCATCACTTGTGGATGTGGAGAATGAGACAGCGCTGAGGTGAGGAGAGATCACCAGACCGAGGATCCTGCGGAATTCAGGCTCCAGAACTGACTCTGCCACTAACTGTCCACGCGTCTGCGGAAGACTCTGACCCTGTCCATCACTCGAGCATGGTGGTGGACCTGGAGTCTGAGTCTGACCTCATGGTCTTTCTTCCTGGCCAGAGTTCACAGGGGTCCCCTAACTTTGATTTTTATCTCATCTCTTTAAAATGTCTACTTTGCGTTTGTTTATCCTCCACTTCGGATATTCATACATGCAAACAAATATCCATGTTTTGGAGGTGCATGCTATCACTAAACAAGCAATCAAAAAATACGCAGACCACCAGTCTACAGAATCAGGGAACGATTTAGGCACACGTTTCCCTTTTGGTGGGCAACTGGGCTGCTCCTCGTTGGGGCCCCCACACACTGTGTTGCAATAAGCACCCTCCACATGTGCATCTGTACACGGGTGCTCTTAGCTCCTAGGACAGAGTCCCAAAAGCAAAATTGGAACTTTTTTCAGAGGGTATATGGCATGTTAATTTTAGTGGATATCGGTGGCCTGCCCTCCTAGAAGTCCATAACAATTCATATTCCCACCAGCAATGTGGGAGATGCTTTTCTCCCCCTACATCTTCAAGGGTTGTAGGAGCTACCACTCTTCCACTTTTGCCCATCTAATGGGCGGGTTGAGAAATGGCATCCGATCTTTAAGAGCTCCTGCATGTGTCAGGGAGGGCATGGGCAAGGTGACGTCTAAGCTCCTTCTAGCTTGTGTCCCTGTTTCTCTACTGGTTTTTAGAGCTCATCGGTTACAGGTGTGTCTTTAGTCCGCCTTCACTAACTGGTGAGAATCCCGGAGACATCTACAGAACATTTGCCAGAAACCAACAAATCAGGGCTGGGGAGAAGGAAAGCTGAATGCAGTCCAGAAGATCATTTTGCCAACACTATTCAGCTTGTAAGAACCATCTAGGCCAAATCCCGGCAACGGCACCCAGAACAAATCGTAAAACTCAGTGTGGAGGGTTTCTGGGATGAGTATGTTCATAGTAAATATTTTAAGATCAATGGCTACACAAAATGCATTTTCCGTGGAGTTTCACTTTTCAGATGGCTTTGTATTAAAAGTGCTACTTCAATAAATATTCATGGGGAAATTCATTGATGTGGTTTATGGTTTATAGCAAAAATTTCAAAGGTCCAGGGAAAAACGATGTATGATGTGTATTTTACCCTCTTAGGAGAGAAGTGGTAAAAAAAAAAAAAAAGAAAAAAAAGAAAGCATTATATGGTTTGGTTTTCTCTGACTCTAAACCCTCCAGGCAGGTGGCTGCTCTTTTCATTCCTACTTCTCTCCAGCCAGACCTGGGACAGATCATAGGGAGAGAGGGGATGAAGGGGGCAGGGGGTGTGCTGAGCCGTTTCAAAGTCTCCAAAGCCCCTCCTAACAGCTACCATTTGATGAGCACTTACTGCACACCTGGCAATATGTCCATCATGCTCCCTGAGTCCTCACCACGACCCTGTGAAGAGCCACCATTATACCCATTTTACAGATGAGGAACATCAAGCCTCAGGAAAGTTGTACCATTTGACTCCAAAGTCACAGAGCTAGTTAAATGGTAGAATGAAGATTCAGACTCAGGTCCATTAGGCTCCAATTTACTTTGTTATTGGCCCCGCCTGCCTCAGTTTCCCATCTCTAATTTCCCCAGATCTCTAGAAGCCCGCTGGAACTGCGTGGGTTGGAGGAACTTTGGTGTGGTGCTAAATGCCTTCTTCTTCACCTCCCCTGCCTCATGGCCCAGGGAAAGTGCACTTGGGCTGCCTGCTCTGAACATGAGGCATCCCACAGCCCCCATGACATCATTATTCTTGGCCCCTTTGCCGGTGGCAGGAAGCAAACTCACACAGGCAAAGCACTGAAATCTGGCCACTTGTTCCTGCCAATTTTTGCAGAGTCTCGGGTAAACGTATTTATTTTTATAATGGCAAGTTGTGCCCTTGGCAATGATCAGAGCCCATTGCTCCCCTGCTTAAGACGCTGGAATCAGTCCCCACTGCCAATAGAATAAAACGCAAATGCCCCGCTTGGCTTGGCAGTCAAGGGCCTCTGCGGCCGGGCCACAGCACCATCCTCTTCAGGGCTGTCCTCTTGCACTGATGCTCGGCCACTCTGTCCTTTGCCCACTGTGCTCTCTCATCTTCTGGGAATGTCTTTCTTCCCTCTCTCTGGCTATTAAAGTCCTAAATATCCTTCAAGGCCCAACTCGAATGGAC